CCCACTGCTCCTTGGCTGAATCCTGAAATAAAGGAAATGATAAAAAGAAGGGACGCAGCAAGACGCAAATACCGCCGAACACGTCTGCCAATCGATTATACATCTTTCAAAGAACTTCGCAATAGTACTCAATCCGTAATCCGACTAGCTAAAGCCACCTACTTCCATAATGCCTTTTCCAATGCTCCTGATTCCAAATTCAAATGAAAAATACTCCGTAATCTATCCCTACCAGAATCAAATAATCTCAGTTCCTTTCCTGTGACCACTTCTTATCCTTCTCCTTTAATCATTCTCCCACTTACGATATTGAGCATCACAATTTCAATCCAGAAGACTTTTTTTTCTCACATGTGTCCTATGATGAACTATTTTCCGCTATCCTAAAATCTCATACCAATGTTTATGGCCCTTGATAATATTCCAGTAAAACTAATAAAATCCAGCCTTCCTGTTCTTATTCCCGTATTTTACCATATCTACAACTTTTCATAGCAAAACTCCATACTCCCATCTTCCTGGAAAATCACCCTAGTCCGACCTTTAAACAAAACTTCAAATCCTTCTTCGCCTCATGACTTCCATCCCATTTCCCTCCTTTCAAAACCACTGGGAACGCCTCATCCAAACCCAACTTTTCAAATTCCTAGAAGAACATTCCCTAATCAACCCTCTCCAATCTGGTTTTAGTCCTGGTTACTCAACCCAATCTGTCCTCCTAAAAATAACCCATGACCTCCAAAACTCCATTGAATACCAAAAACTTACCATCCTAATTCTCCAAGATTTCTCCAGAGCTGTTGACACACTTGACTACAGCATTCTCCTTACTAAACTGCAACATCTTCCTTTATCTAACAGTGTCCTGCGATGGTTCAAATCCTTTGTTTCAAATAGATCCCAGTATGTAGTTGTCCAAGGTCAACCTCCCTCTAAGACACTTCCCCTCTTTTGCGGTGTCCCTCAGGGTTCCTCTCTATCTTCTACTCTGTTTGCTATTTACATTAATGACCTTCCTCTCCTGATCCATCAATCCCAATACAATATCTATGCAGATGATTTCCAAATATACCTGTCCTTCCCTCCTTCTGACCTATTAGCAGCCACCAAAAAACTTCAAGATGACTTAAACATACTCTGGGCGGATGCAAACAAGTTGAAGCTGAATGACAAGAAGACCAAGGCAATTTTGATAGGCTCCGGTCACATCCTTAAAACTCTTCCTAACATACCGATCCTGTTCCTACAAGATAATCCCATCAAATTCTATTCCACCATTAAGAACCTTGGAATAACCTTTGAACAAACCATTTCTTGGAAACACCATGTATCCGATATTTCCCGCCATGTCTTTTCCATTCTAAAACGACTAAATTACCACCGCCACCTATCTTCACTTGAAACCCGTAAACTCCTTATTACTTCCTTAATATTTCCTCACTTTGGCTATTGCTGTACGGTATATGGGGGCGTCTCCAGGGGTCTCGAGACGAAACTAGAGCGTTTGATAAATTGCCTTATACGATTCACCTTCGGGACGCCTCTATATCCCGTTATTATGATGAGCTGAAATGGCTTTATCCTTCCTACCGACGTAAGTATTTCCTGGCATCCTTCCTCTTCCAAGTCATACAATCCCGCCATCCTTCATACATCTCTGATTTCCTTCAATTCAAATCCTCTGTCCATTCCCGCAGAACCCGTTCCCGGTCTTCAGATTTGTATACAAGATCCCACCGAACCGCTGCTTTCGATAGATCTTTCATTATTGGATCCACATCCCTATAGAATTCTATCCCATCCAACATCTGTCTCTCCAATACCCTCCCCGCCTTTAAATACCACCTGTTTAATCACCTCTTATCCGTTCAGCTCTTATAAAATTGTAAATAGATGTTGTAAATATGTATATAAATAATTAGTTTGTTTTAAATACGTTATTTCATTTTGTTTTTTTAAATGATGATTGAAGGTAAATAATATTCTTTTCTTTGTTTATTCATTAGATAAATCAGTTTATTTTGTAATTATTCTCTGAGGCTTTAAAGCCCACATTTTTATGTCTGTACATTAATCTAAAGGAACTTGTCCCAGAATAAATAAAGTGTTATTATTATTATTAAATACCAAGAATTGGCGATCGAAATAAAGGAATTGTACCATTTGGAAAGCGCATTAGTTATATCAATAATAATATCAACAAATGGTCTGATGCCAAAATCAACAGTGGCATGTACGGAAGGCTGAGAATTATTCCTTGATGTATTAAGAGAGGCTCAGCAAGCAGTTCTCTTGGATATAGCTAGAATTACTAGAAAATTCTTAAATATCTAAAAAAAATGTATAACAGCAAGTGGTTGGACTTGTCTCCCACCTTCAGCTTTGAATCAGCAAAAGTGAGAATAATAAATAATAATACTTTATTTATTTTGGGATGAGTCCCTTTAGAATAATACAAAAAGACAGAAATGTGGACAAAGGAGCCCCAGGAGAGATGCATAAACAAAAATACATAGTAATAAAATAGTCATAAAAAAAAAATTATAATTATATATATATGTATGTGTGTGTGTATCGCAAGGCTTTGGACGTCTGAAATAAGAAGATTTTGGATAACTTGAAAACTATGGTCAATCTTTCGTGCACTCCAGCGGTCAAACGATAAAACCTAGTGAGCTGGTTCTAGTTTTATTTTTTAGGAAATTTTAACAGCTTTCTTTTTGATACAAGTGATTTTTCTCTAGGATGAATTATTTCAGAGTTATAAGCGAAATACTTTAACAACTTCTGAAATTTTATGGTTTTTAAACATTGTTATAGTAAAGCCATATCTAGTTGATAACTGCATTTTCAGATTCAGCATCCCAAAAAACATAGAGATCCTTGGAGAAAAATTCTTTAGCAATTTTTTTCCTAAATTGACTAGTTTCCGTCACCAAATGACTAGACTATATACTTAAAATTTATTATTAATTATGAAAAAATAGAATGGTGTATTTTTTAACTATAAATTATGTACAACATTTTAAATTGTCATTTTATTTTATGTACGAAAAGGTAAATTTCTAGTGTTTCAAAAAATCGCAATTATAAACATTTTATCATTAGTTGGATTTTTATTTTCAATTATCTATATATGAATTACAAAGTAAGAGAAAGTATTGCTAAAAATTTTTGAATCTGAGTTTTTAACGGAAATACACGTTTTGAGGTTCCTGGAGTCCAAATAACCTAGTCCCACAAATGGTCTGTGTGTGTGTGTCTGTGAGTGTATGTGAACAGTCTAGCACAAAAACGAAACTGATTTTACTTATTTAACTTATGTATATGGTTGGGATTTTACAGCAACTTTTTCCTGAAAATAGGCTGACCAGAAGTGCAACTTTATATGATTGATTTTACACATTCTTTAGATTTTCTTGAAAACGGCTCTAACAACTTTGATTAAATTCATTAAAGCCATCAGTGTAATAATAACAAGGCTTAAATGTCTATTTTTCTCTATTTCTCCTTCTAAAGTACTATTATTTATTTATTTTTAAATAATTAACCATTTCATATTTCTATCTTCTATAAAAAATAGTTAAATATTAAATATGAAAGAATTTGACAATTTACTAAAGGAGAAATATGGGATCGTAATAGAGAATATTAGTAATGGAGGGAATGAAGGAACCTGAATGTGACCTGAGTTCAGCCGAAAGGTTGGAACAGGCTTTCATACATAACACGTGTTTAATTTAATACGCATTGCATATTATCCAATCATATTACATACATATACATATGAAGTTTTCATAAATGCTAGTGTTATATTATTTAATATTTAACTGTATAGACTACAGCACTATAAAAAAATGATATATACCAATGCTTAAACAAATAAAAATACCTACAATGAAATATGAATAAATATAGCGGCTTTCTTTATTAGTGCCACTCTTGTCTGACTAAAAATATTTTGTATCACTTAATTATTTATTAAAATCAAATAAATAATTAAAATATAGTCATAAAAGGAAATGGTTAGTGACTAAAAACATAAATATAATAAATTAGATGGCTATAAAGAACATATGGTAATTAATTGTTTTAAATAATATTTCCTGCTGTCTATAATTTTTACTTTCACTTCCCTTTGTCTGAAAATACTAATTTCTGCTAAAAAAAAAAAGGTTGTAAGTGAAATTTATATGATGCGCATACTGCACCAGATTTTTTAAATTATGGACAATAAGGTGTTTGGCACGGTACCACTTCCAGAGACAACATGGCAACAAGTCCTGACATCAATCTTTCTTTTGAACTTGAATTAATTTAAAACAGTAATTATTTATCAGTGGGTGAACAAAGAGCTTAATCTGGCATATAGGAATATTCATTTGTAATGTCAATTTTAATAACTTAAAAAGATTCGAATTATTTTTTTAATGTTTTTCATAAGTTATAATGTGTTCAATTTATATTTTATTCAATAATCTTGCATTACCCCACCAATTACAATGAGAACCCATCGATTACTTCAATCATAATGAAATTTTTGAAAAATAATTATTTTCACATCAAAATACTTTATTTTACAACCCAGTGGAAAACAGACCAATACATGTATAAAATCAAATAATATATTTTCAATTTTGCATTTCCTTGCACTGCATATAACAACCTTTAAAGTAGCTATAAACAATATCTATTACATGAATATTTTTTATACCAGAATACAAAAAAATTGGTGAAAACTGCTGAAGGAGGTCTTGACTTAATAAGTGGTTTGTTGAAGCACATATGATAATAATCACTACACTACTGGAAAATTGATTGTATTAGAAAAATTCTAATGTGGTGTCAAGGTTTAGAATCATGTATTCATATATATATGTATATACACGTACGAATATATGTGAATTATTTCATAATACAATGACTCTATACCATTAGATATTTAGATTATACTGTTTCTAATGTTTACTAAAATAACTATCTTATTAAAAAAATAATACCTTTAGAACTTTATACCACTTTCGGGCTAATTTAGGCCGTCCACGTAATGTTTTATGCCACACTACTGGAAAATTGGTCCTACTGCAAAAATTTTGAGTGATTGCTATGGTGGTGTCAAGGTTTAGAACAACATGCCACCAGCCTCCAGGTACAAATACAGTTTCTCCTGGAGCTTGAAGAATTTCTACCTAAACATATTAATAAAACAAACCTCTTTTAAATAAATAAATAAATTATAATAATAAATAAATAAAACAAATTTCTTACTGCATATACATGAAATTTTTTTTTTTTTAAAAAAGCAATATGTATCGAATCAAATAATTTTTAAATTTAATAATAAAAACGTCTTCCTGTATAATTTTTTCCTTTTGCACAACCGGTTTCGGTCTTTTTAATGAGACCTTCATCAGGCTAACTTATGGTGGTCCTCCTCTCCTGCTTGTCAAATGAGGACAAGGATAAGGAGTCCTCATTTGACAAGCAGGAGAGGAGGACCACCATAAGTTAGCCTGATGAAGGTCTCATAAAAAGACCGAAACTGGTTGTGCAAAAGGAAAATATAAAACAAAATATGCAGGAAGACGTCTTTTTTTATTAAATTTATAAATTATTTGATTCGAAACATATTGCTTTTTAAAAAAAAAAAAAAAACAAGTTCATATATATGCATAAAGAAATAAAGGGACAAAAAAATAAGTTATTTACATGCAACATCTCTTAAATTTATACTGAAAGGAAGAAAATAATCTACAAAACTATATTGTAAATCATACTTCCAATATCCTCTCAAACTATTGCATCAATAGATACAAATTAAATATCAGGCTCCATGAAGCTCTGGGATTTTATGGACGATTTTGAAGCCTTTACTTGGATGATTTTGAAGCCTTTACATGGACGATTTTATCAATCATTAATGGATGCAGGAGTGGACACTTAGACATGAATGATGAGTGATAATGTATTTCTAGAAACAGAAGGATTCTTACTAGCAATTAGAGAACAGGTAATTGCTAAAAAAACATACAGAAGGTTATATATGTGGAGAGAATATCAGTGTTATGTAGTCAATGCCAAACAGCAGTTGAGTCAATATAACATGTAATGTCAGGGTGTAAAATATTCAATCTTCTTTGCAGAAACTAGACCTACCGTTAAAGAAAACAAAAAGAATGGAATAGGCAGTGTTGTATATATTGAATAGTATTGTATATATTGGAATTGCGAATATTGTCAAGGAGTTAAAAAATCTCAAATAATTTTAAAAATATATAAATGTAATTTTTAGTTGAACAAATAGGTTCCCAAATATTATGTATGTATAATAGATACCATTTTATATTAGAAACAAATAAAAAATAATAATAATAAAAAAGGTCTGTGCCCCTATTACTTATGAGGGTAAAAGTTGAGTAGTTTGTAAGGACAAACTATTTCTTGAACAACGGTGGTGCAAGGAAGTGATTTGGCCAGGATCATGCTCAACAGTCATGGTTTTTTTACATCAATTCAAGGGTACCTATTTATATACCTCGGTGAGCTCCAGGGTCAATCCACAGTTCATCATCATGAATAGATCTACAACTCCTGCAGAGTCAAGGCCTCCCACAATTTCAACTGTCAGTCCTTTCCAAATAGTGGTGCTGCCTTCCAGTTGTGGACACCCTAGGATATTTTGGGTGTTGGCTTCCATTCTATCAGCCCATCTGAGTCTCAGTCTGCCTACCCACCTTGTAGCGAAGATCCATTTATCTATCAACTTCCTTAGCACATGTTGTTCAGACATACGGAGAATGTGTCCTGCCCATCTCAACCTGCCAATTTTCATTAGCCTCACAACATCGGCTTCTTTATATAGCTGCATCAGCTCATTGTTGGATCACATTCGTCGCTCCTGATTAATATTTATTATTGGACCGAATATTCTTCTTAGGACACGACGTTCAAATCAAAGGAGAGCTGTTTCTTGGGCTCATGACATTGTCAAACACTCAGACCCATATGTTAGTACTGGTCTGATCAGGGTTTTGCACAGGAGCAGTTTGGTTTTACGAGAGATCACTCTACTTTTGAGATGTCCCTGGAGACCAAAATAAGCTCAATTTGCGGCCACGGTACACCTCTGTATTTCAGGATTCATGTTGTTATCTACATTCACTTGAGAGCCAAGGTACATAAATTCTGAGACATCTTCAAAAGTCATTCTTCCGATTTCTACATTTGCCTCTCTGTGGCCTCCACCCTTTGTATCGGCCCGCATAAACTTTGTTTTCTTCTCATTGACCTTTAAGCCAATTCTTGCTGCTGCTCCTTGTAGAATGCTATAAAAGAAAGCATCTTTTATAGCTGCCCACGTTCTTCCAACCAATACAATTTCATCGGCAAACTCCAGTAATTGCACCGAATGATTAAAGATCGTTCCACTAATCTGAATTTGGGATCTTCTAATGGTACATTTGAGGGCAATGTTAAATAGGAGACACGCTAAGCAATCTCCTTGGCACAGTCCTTTCTGCATTTCAAAGTAGTCCGACATATTGCCTTAGATTTTGACAGTGCACCTCCTTCATTGTCACTTGTATAAGTCACACAAGTTTAGGTGGGACACCCAGGCCCAACATATCGTGGTAGAGTTCATCTCTTAGGATGCTATCATAAGCTCTCTCAAAGTCTACGAAGAGGTAGTATGTGCATATATTGCCTCTCTTGCCCTCTCTAGGATTGTTCTAATAGGGAATATTTGGTCGACCATAGATCTTCCTAGCATGAATCCAGCCCGATATATTCCAATTTCTCTCTCAGCGAACGGAAGTAGCTTCTGGAAGAGGATTCTTGAGTGAATTTTATATGCATACGATACCAGAGATATTCCATGATAGTTGTGACAATCCAAGATATCACCTTTCTTATGGATCGGGCAGATGATTTTCTTGTACCAATTATCTGATAATACTTCATCCGCTTATATTTCCATGATAATATTATGCATAAATCTTGTGAGTTTTTCCCCTCCATACTTGAATAGTTCCGAGGGTATTCCATCTGTCCCAGGGGCTTTATTGTTTTTCAGGAATCCTAAGGCGTCTTCCACATCTACCATGCCGGGAGGCTCCAGATCCCCTCCGGCAGTTTCTGCCTCTCCACTCTACAGCAGGAGATATTGTCAGAAAGAACCTTTGAAAATAGAATTTCCATTGCTACATTATATTGTTCTTATCAGTGACTAAGTTGCCCTCTGTGTCCTTGCAAGCACTGGTCTGGGGTTTGAAAGTTCTTCGGCTCTGGTTGATACGGTTGTAGAATTTCCTGATTTCATTTTGGCCTCTTATGTTCTCTATTTCTTCAAATTGTTTCCTTTCCCAGGTCCTTTTCTTCCTCTGAAAGAGTCTTTTCTCTTACCTTCTTCGGGTTCAGTATTCTTTTACAGAAGTTCTTGTGTGTCTTCGTTGTACCATCTGCTGATAAGCTTTATTCTTAATAATAGTGATCCTTTGACACTCCTGATTGTACCCTCCTGCTTTCCGTGTAACTTCTTGATATCCGATTGTTTCATTTGAAACTTCCACTATTACCTCCTTGCAACTACTCCATTGTTGGTTTAAGTCTCCGGATTCACCGAGGTTTCTTACCAAATCTTTTGAGGCTGCAAAGTTTATGGTTCTCTGACCTTTTTCATTTGTGACATTATGAATGCCGTGTATATCTGTTGTGGGTCTTTTCCTATTTGGGTATTGAAATCCCCAATCACAATCTTAACATCAGCTTTCAGACAACTATCAATGCATCTTTGAAAATCTTGCTAAAAAAGATCCTTTTCAACTTCTTCCGATGACTCCGTTGGTGCATGGATGCTCATAATGCTGAAATTATAGAATTTACCTCTCATTCGGAGGTAGCATATTTGGGGAGAAATAGCACTAAATCCAACAACGAGTTGAGCCAGCTTGTTATTGATGATGAACACAGATCCTTAGGTATGCAGATGATCATGACAACTGTAATAGATAGTATGATTTTTCTTGTTAAATATTTCCTGGCCTGTCCACCTTATTTCTTGGATCGCAGCTCTGTCTATTTTATATCGATCCAATTGTATTAGGAGCTGCTCTAGAGCTCCTGGTCAGTTTAGTGATAGTTCCAAGTTCCAAGTTCAAAATCCATTAGACGGGTACTGTGTCGTTGCCTTAGGTTCTGCCCACAGTTGATATAACAGAATTATAAGTAAATACTCATACAAAAACAAACCCTTATATATACATATATTCAACTTATTTTCAAAATTAATTCTAGCACTAGATTAATAAATCTCTCCTAAAAACTAAAAAAGACCACAAGTTCCCTACCTGTGAGCTAGGCTATAGGCTGGAGATGGTATAGTTTTGGCCGAGAGTTACCAAGGGGCAAGAGAATGAACAGGCGATGATCTCAGATAAAGTGCCTGATATGGGAGATCAAAAGGCTTACGCTCAGAAATTTGATAGGATGTCACTTCATTTTACTCCTTAATTTTTTTTTCGGATGAAAGGGGAGAATTTGAGACAAAGAATAAAATATGAAGAAAAAAATTTAGTTCGTAAAATAATGTTTTTTTTTATTACATCTAAGAGGATTAAATAAAATTAATGAAGAGAAGAATAGTTGGGTGCTCAGTCAAAAAGGAAGGCAAAAATAAATTATAATATTTATTTTTTACATCTGCCGACGTTTCGACCTGAAGTTCAGGCCATCATCAGGGCTTTCTCTTAAAATGTCAAAGTGAGAATGAGACCATTCTCACTTTGACATTTTAAGAGAAAGCCCTGATGATGGCCTGAACTTCAGGTCGAAACGTCGGCAGATGTAAAAAATAAATATTATAATTTATTTTTGCCTTCCTTTTTGACTGAGCACCCAACTATTCTTCTCTGATTCTCACTTTGACATTTTAAGAGAAAGCCCTGATGATGGCCTGAACTTCAGGTCGAAACGTCGGCAGATGTAAAAAATAAATATTATAATTTATTTTTGCCTTCCTTTTTGACTGAGCACCCAACTATTCTTCTCTGATTCTCACTTTGACATTTTAAGAGAAAGCCCTGATGATGGCCTGAACTTCAGGTCGAAACGTCGGCAGATGTAAAAAATAAATATTATAATTTATTTTTGCCTTCCTTTTTGACTGAGCACCCAACTATTCTTCTCTGATTCTCACTTTGACATTTTAAGAGAAAGCCCTGATGATGGCCTGAACTTCAGGTCGAAACGTCGGCAGATGTAAAAAATAAATATTATAATTTATTTTTGCCTTCCTTTTTGACTGAGCACCCAACTATTCTTCTCTTCATTATCCACGACAGTCAACCAATTACCAATTATAAATAAAATTAAGTAATTATTTTTAGTTTTAAGTATTAATTTTAATACTTAATCGAACTGTAATAGCCAACATATGATAGGGGGGAAAAAAGACAGTTTTGAGGGATATGGCGGAATTTCGCGAGTGTAGAGGGACGCTAAGGAATTGTGGGTGCAGTACTTTAGTTTTCCGGTGTATGCCAGATTTTCCTTTTTTCCACCAGAAACCTGTGATTATTAGCAACGAGTGCTGCTTGATTTTACAAGTTGGTGAGTCAACATTTTCACAACTTGAAGAAGTTGATAAAGAGGAGCCTGACAACGCTAGCTCGGATAAGTTTCCGCTTCCTCAAATACCTCAATGTTCACCATTGAGATTTTGTAAATATGTATATATAAGTTTTTTTTCCTATCTTTTTTTTTTTTTTTTACTAACATTTGTAATTGGTGTATTGTATAGTCGTAGATTAATGTTTAGTTCTATAATCTTTTCATTGATAACTAAAGTTTATTGTATTTTTTTGTTTTCTTATAAATTCAATTAATTGTCCATAATTTTCATTTCCTTTAACTGTTATTTAAGTAAGTAAATTTATCATCAGTATTAATGATAGACAGTTTTTTTTTTGTTTGTTTGCAGGTTTTATGTATATATTATATTGTTTTTTAAAGGTTTAATAAGGAATTGTAAAACTCTATTCGAAGGATTAGGGAAAATCAATATTAACCAAGTGGAAAGGTTCGATAGGTTTCAACGTTAATTAACATATGTTTTTAAACCCATAGGTTCCGAGTTCATAGCTCGCTCCACGTCCATATCTTTTTTTTTTCATTAAATATATTTATTTATGGTTTTCGCTATTTTCCAAAATCTACAAATTAAATAGCATGGCGCCTGTTAGATAATTAGTAATATTTAATTGACTTCATTATTTTATTTTTTTTTTTTTTTGTGAACCCTTCCGTCACCACTGGGCATCCGGCAAGTTTGTTGCAGAAACAATTTCTCTAAATTAAACAATAAAAGTTTTAAAAAAAAAATTAATCATGTTTAATAAATGGTCATAAGCTTTATTTTGAAACAACTGACAACAAAAGAAAGTATAGGTTAATAAATACTGTAGGCAGTTAAAACTTACTGGTTTACAATCTTGAGGCCATGTTGGTAATTGTGTTCTAGGATAAATAACTGAAAACCAAGTGATTGCTTCATCACGTTGTTTGCCCCCATCAGCAGAAGAGACCTTCAACAATTCCTTAGGAGTCTGAGTGGGGAAAAGGCACCATCTAAAAAAAAATTAGTTTATTCAATAAAATGATCAAATTTTTATAATAAAATAAAAGAATTAGACTACCATGAAATATGTAAAAATAAAATAAATATTTAACTGTTTCCGTAGTAGGCAAATGATAAGGTAATTGAAAATAATACTGAATGCAGGAACAATTTTGGAAGCTAAAAATGGAATTAGTATATCTGCTAGTAATAAAAATACAAAGGATAAAATGGATCTTATAAAAAAATTAAATCAATCTTCATCAACCAAGAATTTTTTTTTTTGATTGTTTATATCTATTGTTGCCATATAATAAAACATACTGAAAAGGACCAACATGACGAATTATGTTCTTAAGAAACATAAAGCTTTAGTAAATAGCCTTCAAATACTCATCATTCGCTATATATAACATTTCTAATTGGGTTATTTCCAAATAAAATTTAGAACTTTCCAAACCATTGGTAATTTTTTTTTTTTTTTTTTTTTCCCTCCGACTACTTCTTGTACTACTTTTTATTTTGGAGAAGGCTGTCTCTATCAGATTTAAAGTAGGAGAGTAGACAGGAAGATACCTCATAGTAAGACTGAGTTTTTGCATATTTTCCTTTACTTCTACAGCTCGATGAGTCCATTCAATGTCCATCAACAAAACACTTTGTTGAGTATCAGTAATCTTCTCGTGGAGTTCTGACAAGAAATCATCGAACTAAACAGCATTACAATTAGCATTTGAGATTACTTTAAAATGTACCACCTTTTCATTACTGATGGCAAATATAAATGTTACATTTCTCTCCCTAACAGTAGGAACATTTAAAATTGAACGCGTATTTACTCTTGACCTTCCCTGCTTCCTTCGAAGATTATAATTGAAACCTGTTTCATTAATAAAAATGATTTTTTCTCTCTCTGGTGGCGCCCACTCATGATATATGGAGGCATATTGTTTCCTCTGCTGCATTGTTTCTGGAGAACTCATTCGATCCAATTCTCTGAATTTCAATTTAAGAGTTATTTTCAATTTTAGTAGACTATTAACAATTGTTGACTTAGCTCAATTGATGTTTCTTGATGAAAGAATTTCTCTCATATGCTTTAATGCCCTACATGGGTTTTCTTCTATTAATTTCTCAATAGAATTGACCTTTTGCAGTCCCACTCTTGATTTCATGAATGGCTACACGGTTCTATGCCAGTCCAGGACCGGCATAAACAAACCCCGTCATTAATGCGTGTCCATTTTGTTTACATCGTGCTCTGGTGGTTCACATCGTTTTCTACCAAATTCCATATTTTGTTTTAGAGGTCATAAAAATGATAAAACTACTTATTTATTCTCAAGAATCAATTTTTATTCAAATGAAAAAGTAATTTATACTTGGTTACACTGTCAGCAGGAGATCTCTAGATCACTGCCTTTTTAGTCATCGTTGAGGCACACCAGGTCACAGGGAGGAAGAAACAGACAGGACAAGTGGGTTTCAGATGATTGAGAGTAGAAGAATGAAATGTTGTGTACTGGTTGTGTATGTAGGATTTTACTTTTGGTATGTTCATGTCTTTTTGTATGGTATGTTTTAAAATAAACTAAGGATCATTGACAATTTTATGAAGTATTTTGGATTGTGTGGTTTGAATTTTGTTCATGTGTGTGTGTTTTGCAGAAATCTAAAGTTCTGCTCCATATGTCCAAATAGGTCTTAGTATGGTGGTGTAGATTAGTTGCTTGTTTTGTAAGTTGAGTGAAATCTGTAGTCCAAAAGATGTGACCGTTGTCTGTATAGTCTGGTCAGTTCTTGTTTTTTTAATTTTGTGTATATGTTCTAGGTTAGATTTCTGTCCAAGTATAGTCCAATATAACGTACATGAGTTTTTTGAGGAATTGGGTTGTTATCAATTGTCACAGCAGAAAACAAAATCTTTCTCAGATAGAAGCTGACATAACTTGACTTGCTGCCATTTATTTTGATTTTCCATTCGTGAAACCATTTTTAAAGGTTGTAGGTTGATTTTGAAGGTCTATTGAAGAGATGGTAGGATTTTTGTGAGAAGAAAGAATTGCTGTATAGTCAGTGAAGCTGTAGAGAATGGTGCTAGGGTGCTCAGAAATATCAGATGTGTAGAAAGAAAAGAGAAAAGGGCTTAAAACACCACCTTGCAGTACACTAGTAAATTGAGGAAAGAAGGGGAAAGTAGAGGAATCAACAGGAATTCAGAAGAATCTGGCAAGAAAGAAAGATTTAAGTATCAGAAAGTAAGTTGAAGGAATGTGATGTTTTATTTTTCACAAACCTTTGTGCCAGACACTATCAAACTCTTTCTTGATATTCAGGAATATCGCTGAGCAGTATTATTTTTTCTCGAAGGCGACTGAGATAGCGTCTCAGTCAAACTGGCACCGATTTGCAGCTACTATTCACCTTTCAATTTCTAACCAATATCATTCATTTTGTATATCTGTGATCCTATGAATATAAGCTCCTCAACCTAATATCAATTAGGCCTATTAAATTGATATTGGTAAAATTTCACTTGGGAATATTTTCCTTATTTCTAAATTAATATTTCAATTTTCTAGGATTCAATTTATCATATCGGTTTTTGTAATATCAGTATCTGTTAAAATTTATGTATATGTTGATCCCTTGAAGATTAATTGACATATTTATTAGCAAAAAGAATAATATTCCAAGAAAAAATATTAATCTCGATAAAATAAGGTCATTAGTCTGATATATCGGTCTTTGGAATTTTGATTTCTACTAAAATTTCTCTATCCATTGATAACTAAATGATGGATTGAGACGTTCATTTAACAATAAGGAGAATATTTCAAGTGTAACAGTTTCCAACAAAATCGATGGGGAAAAAAAAATCTGATATATTGGTAATTAAAATATTTGTTTTGGCTGAAATGTATACATAGGTCGATTAATTGAAACATCCACCCAGCAATAACTAGAACATTCCAAGTGAAACTTTACCAATCACGATAAAATAAGGCTGGTATATTGGTCCTTGAAATATTCATATCAGCTTATATATTTATACTGGTCGATCCCATATCTAATATATCGGCCTTTCAGCTTTATTTCATAGAAAATGGTAAAGTTACACTTGGAATATTCTCTACATAGCTTAAGGATTGATCTGTTTAGAAATATTAACTGATACCGATATTCCAAAGACTGATATCGATATATTAGCCTTCAATATTTTAATTAGGTTTTATTTTATTTTTAATCGTATTATTATACAAATTCTTGAGATTTGTTTGGATTCAAAACAAGGTGATTCCCTTTTGCCTGTCCTGTTCAACTTGGCATTAGAACATGCTATTAGCGAGGTATGCGTACCAAAACAAGGTTGGATCTGGGTGGGACAACACCCGTGTTTGGCTATCCAGATGATCTGGTTCTGTTCAGCTAAGACATGGAAACTATTAAACTAAATCCAAAAACATTAATGGAAGCCAGTAAAGAGCTAGGGCTCGAAATAAACACGGATAAGACAAAATATACAGTTAGCTGCAAAAATGGCGAAATTGATATAGAAGGTTATATGTTTGAAGTTTAGGTATCTATCTAGGGTCTACGATAACTAAAAAAAATGAAATTGAAGAGGAGATTAAGGTTAGGATGAAGGCAGGAAATGCCTGTTATTATTAGGGGGGCTAATGGGTAGGGTAACGGGAGGTCTAGAGAGGGAGATGGGTGCGGGAGTCTCCTCCACTCTTTGCGGAACGATCCAGCATCAGTGCCTTACCCACTGCTAGTGAGTTCCCAGATTTCCTTATCCCTATTAACGCCTACTGTCACCTCCATATGGTGCCCCCCCGGGGAGTCCGATGGGACTCGCGGATGACAGAGGTGGAGTTTGTCGCAAAGAGAGACCACGACTTCGCTGGGAGGAATATGTCACTTCAGACGCCCATGCTATACTTAATAATAATAATCATAATGCTTTATTTATTCTGGGACGAGTCCCTTTAGAATAATACAGAGAGACAAAAATGTGGGCTAAGGAGCCTCAGAGATACATAAACAAGAACATAGTTTGATTAAATAGTCAAAAAAATAAAATAAATAAATAAATAGAAAAAAATAATAAGAGAAATTATAAATTACTTTCCAATTTACATCAGTTAATACAAAAAAATAAAAAATTGAAAATAAACATGAAGTAAAAATAATGAAAAACGATCTAATAATTTATATACATATTTCCAGTAGTAACTATTTCCAATTTTATGAGGACTGGATGGATAAGAAATGATTAAACAATTGGGATTTAAAGCTAGGAAGGGTTTTGGATTGACAGATGTGGGGAGGGATGGAGTTCCATAGGGAAGAGGATCGAATAATAAAAGATTTATCGAAAGCAGCGGTTTGGTAGGCCATTATATATAAATCTGAAGACCGGGAACGGGTATTGCGGGAGTGGACACAGGATTTAAATTGAAGGAGCTTGGCGATGTATGAAGGACGGCAGGAGTGAATTACTTGGAAGAGAAAGGATGCTAGGAAATACTTACGGCGGTAGGAAGGATAAAGCAACTTCAACTCTTCATAGAAACAGGAAACAGGGGCGTCTCTTGGGATCCCGAAGATAAATCGTACAAAGCAATTTATCAAATGTCAATTTATTACTTAATTTCTGTAATTGGAAGGCAGCAGCACTTGATAGAGAAAACTGATGATCAGTGTTGAAGCAGGCCAAAACTCAATTTAGTGGGTCACAGAGCCAATAGAAGAAAAAATATATACAATAGCCTGTAAGGCCGATAAAGAAAAAAAAAAAAACGATAGGCCGATATATTGGCATATCGACCTCGAAATATTGGTGTCAGCAATTATTTCTATATTGGTCCATCCCTACAATATATGCGTATTTGCTATAAGAAAATTTCTGTTTATCTTTACAAATACGGTACAAACACACAAAATAAAAAACTTATCAAACAAAATTTTGAAAGAGAAAATTCAATAGATGCTAAGAAATTTAAAACAAATCTCACCGTTTATAACCTTGAACTAAAGCATTCCAAGCAGATGTTCCTAATGGATCTATATGAATTCCGGTACCAGAACGAGCAGGACCCATAACAAACCAACGATAAGGAGGTCTTCGATTTTCACCACACAGACGAAATAAATCGTCTTTAAAATAAATAGGAACATCATAATCTTCTAAAAGCTTACTCCTTCTTCTATCCTGATAAACAAAATTAAATTTTAATATTTTTTTTTCTTCAAGAAACAAAAATTAAATTAATATATTATGAATTAACACCACAATGTATTACTACACTAAAATAGTAATATAAGTATTAATAAAATCTCCATATTATTTTTTTTCAGTCTTTATTCACCAAGGTTTCGAGCTTTTTGTTACCAGTTTTCAATCTATGAAACTATACAATTAACATTTTGTTTTATTTTAATACATATTATAAAATATATAATATTTACAGTCCCGGTCTGGCTTCGTCAAAGGTCCTTGGCTGGAGTCTGAAGTAGGGATGGCACAAAATATCGTCCCTTCGATAATTTGATTTAAAACTATCGTTTTTGGAAAGCGCTAGGAATTATGTATGAATATGATCGTTAAAATTGATAAAATATGATCGCTAAGGAAGTGATAGGTATTCAGGAGAAACGAAAAGTTAATATGTGGTTCACAGAAGCATATGGAAAGGTAGTAGAGGAAAGAAGAATAATGAAAGCCCATTGCCTAGCTACAGCTGATTAAGTTGCTCAGCACAAGTACAGAGCTGCCAAAAAAAAAGCAAACAAAATTATAAGGTAGGCAAAAAGGGACTTCCTCAAAGAAGTATTGCATAACATTGAGGACAACTGGCAGACTGCAGATATATGTGAATTCTACACAGACATAAAGAAAGGAAGGGTAGGATATAAAGTGAGAAATATGCAGCAGCCATGACATTTTCACAGTATCTAAAGAAAATGAACATCTGGAAAGAACATTTCCAAGAACTTCTCAATTAAAGGGACCACACGAACGAAGAAGAGAGACCACACTGAGGACCTTGACCCAGAAGAGGTAGAAAAATCAGAAATACTGGATGTTGATCTAGATATCAAAAGGTTTAAAACAAGAAAAACCCCAAGGAGAGACCTACCATCAGAACTATTTCAAGATGGGAGAAACGACTTAAGAGCCAAGCTACTATAAGTAATCCAGAAAATATGGGAAGAGGAAAGAATGGATACCTGAGGCTTGGAATACGAGCATTACCTGTCCTATCCTAAAGAATGGCTCCATGTATGAGTGAAGTAATTACAGAGGCATAGAACTCCTTCCAGTTGCCTACAATATAATCACCAATATCTGAAGATATATGAAATGAAAATAGATTTTTATTACCCTGAGACTTTAGGACAAATTTGTTTCCCTCATTTTTCCCCTTTAGGACAAATTATAGATACAGAGGAAATGCCTGTGCGGGCATAAAATTAAATTAAATATTTGCAATGCTCATTAAAATAAAAATATTGGAAGAAAAATAAAACAAAACCACTAAATACATATAGATATATACAATACAAACATGTGAAAATAAAATAACATAATTAAACAAAACCATTTCTGGGGGAACTTAAAGAGTTCTCTTATCTACTTTTCATGATCAATCGGGTTGGGAAAGAAGTAGGTGCTTAAAAAGGAGAGATTTAAATGAGGAAACTGATTGCGCATGTCGGATATCGGGAGGGATGGTATTCCAGATGGAGACGGCTTGAATTATAAAGGATTTGTCAAACGCAGCAGTTCGGTGAGGAGGTGGATAGAGGTCAGAAGTACGGGATCTAGTGGACGGGATTGAATGGAATATTTAAATTGTAGGCTGTGAAAAATATAGGAAGGTCGCTGAGTTCTGATGGCTTGGTATAGAAAGGTAGCAAGGAAGTACTAGACGGCGGTTGGATGGATAGAGCCACTTCAACTTGGTGTAATACTGGGTTATATGCGTATCTCTTGAGATTCCGAAAACAAAACGTATTGCGCAGTTCATCAGGCGTTTAAGTTTGGCCTCGAATTCTCCCGAGAGTCCGCCGTACACCAGACAGCCATAGTCGAAGTGGGGGAACCAGGAGTTGTCGGATTTATATGGAAGGAGATAGCGGAGACGGTTAAACTGTTTCAGGGTAGAGATAGTACGACGGGAAATTTGGGAGATGTGTGGTTTCCAGGAGAGAGTTTGATCAAAGGTAACACCAAGGTTTTTTACGGAAGTATGGAATGAGATAAGTGAGTTGTTCAGGAAAAGATTGGGGAGTGTCAGTAAGGATTTGAGGAGTGAGGGAGTTCCGATCAGGATAGCTTTCGTTTTCTCGGAGTTTAGAGTGATTCTATTGTGGTTTGCCCAGGCACAAATTCCGTCTATATCTTTCTCTAATTTTTGGATGGCATCAGAGGATTGAAGGAGTGGTAAATCTGGATGTCGTATTTTTGAATTAAGTTTTATTATTAAAATTGTATCATTTTTACAATAGAGGCCTTCTTAAATTACCTCCGTATATAATAAAGGAAGTTAAATTAAAAAAATAATAATAATAAAAATAAATTGTTTAATTTTTTTTTACTATTGAATTATTGCATTAATCTTTGTTCGTTAATACAATCAATATAATTTACCAAAAACGTTAATATAAAAAACTGAAACTAAGCCATTTATGAGTACTGAATGGTGTAGTAGAGGCCTGTAGGCACCTACGCCAGTACCACTTAAGTGCATTTTCTACGGAACTGCTTCAAATATTTTAAAATGTAATTGATGTTTTAGAAAGACAAATATATTCTCCAGATGTTTTATTTCACCAAGTTATGCGTTATTGTTGGCCCTCTAATCACAAATGACGCTTGATTTTCAACTTGAAAATTTTTTGGTTAAAAAAATTGACTTCACTGGTGTTTTTTAAGCCAATTATTTTTTTTATATTTCTCAGGTTTTATTATTCTTTGACTATCCAGCTTTAATAAAAGACCAACTGTGATGAAATTAAGCTAAATGCTGATTCTCAGTGACAAAAAAACTAACTAAAGTCAATGTCGTCAGTCCCGCCATGTTTGGACGCCATTTCGGCTCAGTGTGTTCACTTTTTTTTGTGGGAACATTAGCTTTTTTTAATAAATAGATACAAATAACACAACAATATGCAATATATAGAGTTGTGGGGGGGGGGGGGGGGAAGGAGGTGCACGGTAGTGGGGTCTGGCCCACAGACTAGGTGTCTCAGATATTAATGGCTAAACTCTGAGGGATTTATTCAAGACAAAATTTCCAACAAATATTTGATGCATGGGCCGATACTGAACAGAAAAAAGGAGTTAACTAATTTTGTGTTTTGTTTTTTTAAGGTGGTCACGGTTTTTATTGGATTAGAAGGAATTGCTCAAAAACTGTTAAAATAATTAAATTCTAAGTACACTATCATAAAGTAGAAAAAAATTTCTTTGAAAAAACAGGGAATAAATTTGCTAAGGTCAATGATAAAAGGGACTTTCAGGAGGTCTTATGGCTCCTGGGATGAAACCATATTCATACCCTGCATGAACAATGATCATCCTGGTTTTCTTGTCATTTTTTTTTTTTTTTAAGTCCAACTCAGTTCAATCAGTCCAGATGAAATTGTACATGTGTTGAATGAACATAAGTTTTTTGTTTTTCTTTTTCCCTCGTTGGCCCAAGACTTCCCTTGAAGTCCTATACTGCCCTACCTAACTTTCATCTCAGTAAACAACGGGACAACCTTCTTTTCAATATTTAGCTATTTAATTCAAATATTTTATTTTTTTGAGATGGATATCCTTTTTCTAAATCAAAGCTTTTTGAATATCCCCATATTTTGCCCATTTGAAACTTAAATTTTGAAGTATTTTACGTAATGAGTCTTTATTTCCACTGAAATTAATTTCTCCATTTCACTTATTTTTAGTAAAATTTTGTTCAAAGATGGTAGTTTTTTTTATCAATTATATGAAAATTAAGGGAATGGCTTCTTTATCAAAGTTGTCCATATTTACTTTGTTTTCTTTTTGGGCTGTTTGTTGGCTAGAGTTACAAAACAAGGTTTATCACCTCTTTCTACAGCTTCACCCTCTTTTACGACGTTTCTCAAAGTGTGATTCGAGACACCAATAGCCTGGGAAACTTTCCATAACAGAGGAAACATGGAATGGACCATCCCCAGCCACTGTTTTCAAGAACTGTTTAATATACATTCATAATTACATTTTAGTTTGAAAGTAGATAGTTTTTCCTCTACCCAGTTTACTTACATAGTAAACGACAATGGATTTTATGGATTATATAGAAGTACGTACGAATGAGTCGAGAAGACAAAAGAGATTGATTGATTGATTTTTATTTGTCTTAGAACCTATGGTCCTTTCTTACAGACAAAAATACAAATAAATTTAGAATTTTACAATTTTCATCACAATATACATTGTACCTTACAATATTTTTTTCAATTTAATTTTAATTTTAATGTTAGTGAGTAAATATAATACAGATGTTAGCATGTATAAATAAAAATATATAAAATGAAATTACAAGTAGAAAGTAAGCGAGAAAAGAAAGAAAAAAAAAGAAGAAGAAAAGAAATAATTAAGAGAGCTTATCGGATGAGAGTAATTGTAGGAACTTTGAATTTTTATTGTGCACTCAACCAATCCTCGGTTAGGAATCGCCAACACAAGCCCTGCAGAAGAAGGATGCTGTTGTTCTTACCTCTACTGGAAGTTGGTCGAGTTCCCTCGCCGCTGCAGCGTGAAATGTGTTCCTGAAAATCTCGGTTCTGCAAACCGGCAACTGAAATGTTCTCTGTAACCTCTCACTTTGTGTCACCACGAACCCTTTCCTTAGTTCCTTAGGATCTCCGGAGTCTAGAATTTTTCTTGCTAGGCACATTAAATTAAGTCTCCTATAATCCTTTGATCGCAAATAGCCTAACTTATTTATATATGAGCATCCAGCTGCATTTTTTATAATTTAGGTGGAGTCTGTTGGAGAAGAGCCCAGTGCTGAAGTGAATTAATATTGTTATCAACCCACTGCATAGTCTCAATAACTTCCTCAGGCAATGCAGAAGCCCAAATAACTATGTAATCAGCAAACATGTGGATTTTACTGTATTTCAGAGCCATTACGTCATTAATGTACTCAAGGAACAATAGCTGTCCATGAACAGAACTCTGTGGGACAACCGAGCTGCACTCCAGCCACCTCAAGAAGTCGCTATGTGTTCTCACTTGCTGGGTCCCTCTGATCAAATATGATTTTATGATCCATTACAATATCCAAGGAGAAGGCTTCGTTCTACATGTGCGATATTCCCTGAGAGGTGCATGCTTATCGAAAAGCTCAGTTATCTTTGTTGTGTATAATTTAACCTTTTCATTAATGTCAGTGCTGTCATATACATCGGACCAGTCCAACTGTTAGGTATCTATTTTAAATCCCTCAGGATCTATCTTCTTCAAATTTCTGTTTTTGATCAGAGAAATTCTACTTGACAAGGGGCCCTTCTTATATAGAACAAAGATGAAGTCATGTGTCGAAATCCCCGGAACATGAACTTGTCCATGGCGTCTCACTCTAGAAATGTCCGATACTTTAATGTGGTCAATCCAAGTCTCAGAATTTACAGCAGCGGTATGAGTATGGTTAGTGGCTTTGAAAGGGAGCATGTAAAAATTTAGTGTTCTAAACAGAGTGGTCATTTGGCCCGAATTGAATGAGCCAGCCAAAGGGTCAGTATTTAGGTATGATATCACGCAAGCAGTATGATGTCGGAATATTTGCCTCAGTAACGCGAGAAGAAATCCTCAATATCAGAAAAGTATCCACCCTTTGGAGGTCAATAGACCGTTCCGATACAAATACACCCACTAGGTATGCCCGATCCTCAAGAAACAGATACTTCCGGGTGATTTTCAACATACACCTAGGTTTCAAGCTCAACTACAGGGTATTCATCCATTATATACACCACTACCCCTCCTCTGGGCTTCCCGATCCTATCATTCCTGTAAAGTTTGTAGCCATCGATACCAAAACTATATCGATAATGTCGGAACAAGCCAAGACTCGCTAACGGCCAACATGTCCAACTTGACCTGCTGAAAAATCAGTTTAACTTCCTCAATATGGGCCATTGAAGATTTGGCATTTGTATGTGCCACCCTCAGCACTCCATGATCGCCTCAAACAATCCCTTGCAGGTCACTTAAGGGACCCACGACAGGCGACAGATCTTCGGCCAGGTCGACCCCCTCATCCCACAGGCCCACGCTTATTTCAAGTAACGACATCCCGAAGAAACAGACCTAATCAAGAGCAAAACTCTGCAGCGAATCGTAGAAAAATTACTATTGAGATATATTGGATAGAGAAACATTTTGAATATTGGAAGTAAATATGGATTAAAAATAAAATAATAATTTATAAATGAAAAAAAGCAAATCAGAATGATGATTAGAGTAAAATGTCATAGTTATATATATAGCATTTCCAAGTAAATTTCAACCTTTTCCAAATCAAATTCAACCTTTTTCAAGTCAAATTCAACCTTTTCCAAGTCAAATTCAACATTTTCCATTTCAAATTCAACTTTCAAATTTTTTTCAATTTTCGTTTTTTTTCTAAATGAAGGCCACTTACTATATTATCGAAGGCATAGCTTTTGAAAAATACAAAAAAAAAAAATTATGATAACGCGATTGTATATCCATTTATTTTAACATTTTAGATTTTTTCAGTGTAATATTTCTATGTAATATTCAATTTTTTCCAAGTCAAATTCAACCCTTTCCAAGTCAAATTCAACCTTTTCCAAATCAAATTAAACTTCTTCCAAGTAAATTCAACCATTTCCATTTCAAATTAAACCTTTTCCAATTCAAATTCAACCGTTTTCATTTCAAATTAATATTTTAATTTTTTGTAAATTTTATATTTTTTTTTAAATAATGGCCATTCTCCCTCCCCCTCCAATATGAAGGTCTATTATTATGCTCTCCTAAGTAGAATTTACACTTACGGATATCGATTTATTGTACCTATTCGGATTTATTAGGGATTAGTATTATACTGTCCTGTACCTAGTTTTTAAAATAACCTCCATTTTAAGATTACGTCACTGTGTTTCGACTTATTTAAGTTTTTTTGATTTATTCAATATAAGGGTGTATTCTTATGTTTCCCGAGCCGTAAATTTTGAAAATGACCTCCATTTTATGATTACGCCACTGCGTTTTGACTTATTTAAGTTTTTCGAATTTATCCAATATAAAGGTCTACTTTTATGTTGCCGGAGCCGTAGTTTAAGATTAGGTCACAGCGTTTCGACTTATTTACGTTTTTCAGATTTTTTTCTTATAAGAGTGTATTCTTATGTTTCCGGAGCCGTAGATTTTGAAAAAGCCTCCATTTTAAGATTACGCCACTGTGTTTCAACTTATTAAAGTTTTTCGAATTTATGCAATTAAAAGGTCTACTTTTATGTTGCCGGAGCCATAGTTTTTGAAAATGACTTACATTTTAAGATTAGGCCACTGTGTTTTGGTTTTTTTAAAATGTTTTTGATTTTTCCTTCGAATAAAAAACAAAATATGAAGGATTAATATATTTTTCAATAAATAAATAAAAATATCTAATCGAAATATATAAAATATCTATTGTCTCATTTTTAATTTAATTTTAGTTATCTATTTTAATGTTGTGGTCTCCTGTAATAATTATAAGATTTCGAACAATTATTTGAATATGGTAGGTTAAATTTGTTACCAGTTGCTTTTTCGGCTTTTTAGTTTGTGTTTTGTGATTAATTTAATCTTAGCTTCATAATATTTATTTATTCATACTCGAAAACATATTGATGAAACTTTGTATTGAAAAAATCCAAAATGAAGCTTAATTAATCGATATGTAGCGGCTTAATCATAAAATGGAGATTAAATATTAGATAAATTTAAATATTACAGATTAGAAAAATTTCAAATACGTCTCCGATAACATAAAAGTTGGCCTTTAAATTGGATAAATTCGAGAAACTTAAATTAGTCAAAATGAAATGGCGTAATAATAAAATGGAGGTAATTTTCAAAATCTACGGCGCCGGAAACATAAAAGTAGACCTTTAAATTGGATAAATTCGAAAAACTTGAATAAGTTAAAACGTGGAGGAGTAATCATAAAATGGAGGTCATTTTCAAAATTTACGGCTCAGGAAACATAAAAGTAGACCTTTATATTGAATAAATTCGAAAAACTTAAATAAGTCAAAACGCAGCGGCGTAATCATAAAATGGAGGCCATTTTCAAAATCTAGTGCTCCGGAAACATAAGAATACACCTTTATATCGAATAAATCAAAAATACTTAAATAAGTCGAAACGCAGTGACGTAATCTCAAAATGGAGACCATTTTTAAAATCTACGGCTCCGAAATCATAAGAATACATCCTTGTATGAAAAAAATTCGAAAAATTCAAATAAGTCGAAACGCAGTGGCGTAATCTTAAAATGGAGATCATTTTCAAAATCTACGGTTCCGGATACATAATAATACACCCTTATACGAAAAAATTCGAAACACTTAAAGAAATCGAAACTTGGTGGCCTAATTTTAAAATGGAGGTCGTTCTCAAAATCTACGACTCCGGAAACATAAAAGTAGACCTTTATATTGAATAAATCATAAAAATTTAAATAAGTCGAAACGTAGTGACGTAATCTTAAAATGGAGGTTATTTTCAAAAACTACTCATACGATGATAGACCCACGCATCGAAAAATTAAATAAATAAAAAAAGGTTGAATTTGACTTTGAAAAGGTTGAAATTGACTTGGAAATGCTATATAAGAAGAAAAAATAAATAATGAAAAAAAAGAGAGTATGATGAGCATGTCATGCTTCATACCTTCACTAAGCCTAGACATCATATCTGTATGAGAATGTAATACAAACCATTAATTATTATCAAATAATTGTGAAATAACAATTTTCTTTATATCCTCCGTGAATAAGATTGATAATAGTCTCTTTAACCATCAAACCAGCAAAGAAACTGTAACTAACACTCCTTACTTGATTGATAAAGAATGAAATAATATTCAATCATAAATAAAAACCAGTAACAAAAAAAATAATAATAACAACAATAATAATAAATTATTAAAAAAAAAAAAGAAAAAAAAGAGAGGGATTGGCAGGAAATGTTTTGCAACTCTCTCCCCCTCTGCCCACTGGCAAACTCATCTTAGAGAACTCATAAAGGTGTACAGTGAAGCATTAGAATGCAGGTTATAAACACAAGGCTGGTGTGAGCAGAGAAGTATAAACTAGATTTATCTCGGCCACAATTATTTTCAACATTTTTATTTCTTCTTTGTGTTTAACTCTAACTAAGTTTTTTTTAAATTGTTAATATTAAATAATATTATTTTACAGCCAGTTTTTCATATCTTTCAGAGAAAAATCGATTAGTAACTGCTGGCCAGTTAAAATTGTACTTGGTTGGTAGTCAAGATGATATTTCTTTTGTATGTAACTTCCTCTTTTAGATTGATTTTAAACTGCTCACAAACACGGGTTATTTTTAGACTACACCTTTGCCTTACAATTTTGTAGCAAAGATTTTTTTGGAGGAAATAAGTTTTATTTACAAATTACATTAGAAAAATGTAATATAAAATTAATGTCCGTATGGATTGATAAGTATGCTGTGTACGAAGCAACCCTATGTAGTAGGGCAGCATTACTTTTAATAAAGTATTTCTCTCTTCTTAAACTCATCCCATACTGGTTAAATTGTCATCAATAAAAGTTATTTATAAGATTAGGAATTTCTAAATATTCCTATTTTATTATTTATAAAAAGAAGCAGTAATACATACCTCACCAAATCCACTATCAAATATGTAGAGAGGACTGTCATCATTATTCGACTGCATATAATTAATAAAATATTTCATTTTCAACTTCACACTGTATCCTTGATTATCTTCACCACACTTGAATTTTTGATTTCTGTATTTCTTACATAATCGCTAGAAAAATAATTTAAAATGAGAACATTATTCGATAAATATAAGATATCCTGTGATATCTGAAAAAATCAAAACTACAATCTTTATTCATTAAAAAAATATCAATGCATATTTTCTCTATAAACTTTTTTTTTTTTAAAGAATATTTAGTCGTTTATTTTTTCTATTTCTATCAGTCTTATTAATTTTCTTTTCAAAGCCCTTTAGCAGTCATACTCTCCTCCATATCCTAAAGCCATATCTTCTTGGGTTATCCTCTTTTTTTGCCTGTATGTCTGGCCAAGGAGTAATAGCAAGATGTTCACTATGTTTCTGTAGTTCTTTTTCTTTAACATTCGTACCCTTATTTATTTATTTATTTTTAATATTTATATCTTCGAAAAGTTTTTTTTTATGTTTAATCACGTTTATTAACGTCCTTAAGCTTTTTTTCTATGAGTTATTAAATTATTGAATTTTTCCCAATTTTATCAACAAAGCAGCACGTTTTTGAACAAAACCACACCATACTTTTTTAAACTAGATTAAATATGCTACAATTAAAGACCAAAATAGGCTCGGTAAATCAAATAGTTTATGAGATACAGGTTTTCAAAGCTAGGAAAATTTGATTTTCCATTTAAATTATTTTTAATATTTGATCATATGCAATTGCCTTTTGTCTTCAATAACCTGTCTCATATGAGTCAGTGAAGAAAATATTTATTCATTTTAATATTTTGACGGTAGGACTCGGCTGGGTCCTGACCAGAAAATCAACTGCAAGGGAACAAACCCTACAAATGACGCAGAAGTCGGAGATGTTGGCCGAAAGGTGCAACTAGTCCCCTCACATCTTTTACATGGTGGTCAAGGAAAACTGGACATCATATATTACTTCCCAAAATGGAAAGAACAAAGAAGAAGAAAAGAATCAGCATTTTCAAGTTGCGAAAATTTCATTTACAATTTTTGTATGCACCTGATATAAATGTTTTGATGTAATTTGTTGATGTAAATTTTAAATTATAAAAAGTTCTTTTTCATAGAACAAAATTTACAAATGCATCTGGTGATTAATTTTAATGCAGAATGTGCCAGAGTAAAGCAGGCTAATTCAAATATTTTATTTATTTTAAGTTATTTATTACACAAGTCATAATTATGTTATTGTTTCAACATAGACTCATATTAGATTTTTATCCATTAACATACAAAATTTGTATGTGTTTACCTACATTTTTTTCCGTAATTGTTACTTTCATTATTATGCTTATTTATTTAATTATGTGTTAATACAATTATCGTTTTTTTTTATTTGTATATAATTTGTATTATTTTGATATTTTAATTTGGTTGATGTTATGTTTTCGACATAACAAAAAAAATATTGTGATTTTCAACCCCTCCATAATTTCTTTTATACTTCAAAACTTTTTGTAGGTACTTCATTATATTTAAATATGTTACTGACAGATTATTAATCAAGTAATTAGTAAGCTGAAGATATTAGAGATCAATAACTGGATTTTTCATGTCTTTTTTGGGGGAAATTTCAGGGTTTTTAGTGTATAAAAATATGAGCCTTTATTATAACCTAACATAAATTAATGTACACAATGATTTTAAAAAATCTTTTTATTCATAAATGAAGTAATTATGTATATGCTAATTGTAATTGTTTCCAAATATAAAAATTGTCCTCAAGTGAATTAATGGTAAGGTGACGAGACGTCCCGCTTTTTGGAAAGAATGCACAAGCTAGAGAACGGCAAGGGAATGGGAAGAGAATACACGGTTTTCGGCGGATATGTGGCTATTTCGCCAGGATATGAGTTTTATATTATTTTGGTTAATTTTATAATGTTAACCTTAATAATAACGAATAATTGTTGAGAATTGATTATCAATAATTGCTTAGCTAAGTTCGCATTGTTGATCATTTGTTAGAATTGACAATTAACATTTGGACTTAATAAATAACCTGAAAATGATTTTTTAAATAATATATCGTTATTAAAAATATATATTGATAAGGAAAAGATTGAATGTTGGGCATCAGCAAATTAATTTCATTTGCTACTTCGATTACCTCAATTTCATTACATTGAACAAGTTTTATATAGCATTTTGAAAAAGAGCTGCTTGATTGTGTACAAACTGCAGACACAAAACACCTAAGTATCAAAAACTGTGTCATTATTGAATTCATAAATTATAGATGTCAAATACACCATCAAATTATTCGCTCTAGAAAATACTTTAGAACTAAATTCTCCAACTTATTCCAGCTGAATACTATGTCACTTGATTATCATTATGTAAAATTATTTATTTTAACTACAAATTTGGACCATCCACCCCCTCTCTGGTCAATAGTGTCCCGGCTTTACCTTACCTGCTTTACTTTAAAATCTTTTTTCTTTGTATTGGGTTTTCGTCTACAAGACTGGGTGTGTGTGTGTGTGTGTGGCAGCCCTGTACCATGATATCAAGCCTGAGAGGTGCTGCTGTGGATGTCTGCTTACTACCTGACTAGGAGTGATGCTCATCTTAAAAAGTAGGATAAAGTTATACTTATTGATTGGGATTGATTTGTAATGATTTTAAGCGTACCAATAATGTGCATACTGTTGTTTTTGTAGAACCATAGAGGATCCCCTTTTCTAGGAATCAAAATATCAATATATAAAATATTGCTGACAACTTCCTTATATATATATATATATATATATATATATATATATATATATATATATATATATATATATATATATCTTTACAACTTTTCCTTAATCGACCTTTGAGTATTAAATTTAAACTTCACTATTTAATTGGGAATAAGGTCACTTAATTATTATTTAATAAACTAATTAATGTTCATTTCTTCTGTTTATTGACGTTTCGATCCCGGTATTTTCTTTTTATTAGTCAACCATGGGATCCTCTTCAAAGCTAGAATTTAAAAAAATAGAGCTTCGATCATGCCAGGGACACACCGACAGCCTCAGCACCGTCCACTAGCACATATATTAAGCTACTGTAGCACATATATAGAGAGTAGCTTAATATATGTGCTAGTGGACGGTGCTGAGGCTGTCGGTGTGTCCCTGGCCTGATCGAAGCTCTATTTTTTTAAATTCTAGCTTTGAAGAGGATCCCATGGTTGACTAATAAAAAGAAAATACCGGGATCGAAATGTCAATAAACAGAAGAAATGAACATTAATTAGTTTATTAAATAATAATTAAGTGACCTTATTCCCAATTAAATAGTGAAATTTAAATATATATATATATATATATATATATATATATATATATATATGATATATTTTTATTTTAATTATTCTCCCTTATTACTCAACAGTTATTTTTCTTTTGAATTTTCCATCCTCTTTCTATTAACTTTCGTTCAATTTTCCATAATATTTCTGAGTAATATATCTCTCGTCCCTATTTACGCTTCCGGTACTTTAGTTCAAACTTCGTCAGATAACCATTAGAGATGACGCCACAATACATCTCTTCTCTCTCCCCCTCCCTTGCTATGACTTTCATTCTCCCTGCAACACTGTTGGAGACAGGTACTTCTTCTTTTATTTCTTTCTTATTTCAGCTTTCTTAGTTTCTTCCCTCCTTCCTTTCATTCCTTTTCCCTGTTTTAACTCTTTATTATATTATACATTGTCTGTACATCTTGATAGACTTTACAATATCTCAATTTTCTATCTAACTACTCCATTCTCAATGTCTTAATTTTACTATTTATTTTCATTTCTTATATAACTTCATATTTCGTTTTAATGTTTTACATTTTATTCTAAGATTCCCATTTTAACACTTATGTCACCCTTTTTGATTATGCTTACTTCATCATTCCACACTTTGTAACGGTTATTATTATTTATCTCTTAGTTCTTACTATTGTCATTATTCTAACAACTTCATTTTACTTTTTTTTACCATCACTACTTATCTTTCTCATACCTTGCTATCTGGTTCTTTTCTTAGCCCTGATGAAGGCCTAAACTTCAGTTCGAAACGTTGGCATATGTAAAAATAAATATTATCATTAATTTTTGCCTTCTTATTTGACTGATCACCCCAACTATTCTTCTCTTCAAATTATCAATAAAGAAGGAAAAATATACTAAAATGAATTGAGTTAATTCAATATACATGGACCTAATACTCAATGAATGTAATAAATAACGCATGGGGCGCCATGTTGTAAGGTTACGTTTCCTTTGAAAAGTAAACTAAACAGTTTCTGAATCAAATTATATTTATTTTAAACAATAATTATTTCTCAGGTTGGGTTGAGACAACAAACACACATCCCCAATTATACAATATAAAATCATACATTAATAGTAGATAACATCATTATGAATTTCCATTCTTCGTCGAGGTCTACTCTTGGCGCGCTTTCGAACTGTCACTATTTATATTTCACTCACCCTGTTACACAGTGCATCTTCTTCTATATTGATGTCTTCAACTTCTACAATCTTCTATTCTTCCTTTGTTGGCAATCACTACTTGTTAGTCACATTTTCTACTCTCGATCCTCTTTACGGCTGGCTTCCTTCTGCCTCAACATATGGCACTTGCATCCCCTTCCATCTAGCTTTGTCCATCTTTGACAGCAGTTCGTCACGTCACTGCCTTCGTGTTACTATTCAAAATTACTATGTAATATTTACATTACAGTGTGTGTGTGTGTGCGCACATGTGCGTGTGCGTGTGCGAGTACAGGAAGCAGTGTGACTCCTTTCCAGTTTATTCCAGTTGTCCAGTTTGTCACTTTTCTTTTAATTTTCACTTCTTGGGCTCATTCTGGGCACAATGAGCCCATTCTTGAACTCTGAAAGTACTTTCTATTCTTCCCATATTTTTCTAAAAAAAGCGGTTCAATTATATTTGTCTGGGCTCTAGCATTGACCATTAGGATTTCTGCAGAATGCTATCAATTCGCAATCAATCAATCAATTCGCATCACGGGATCACTGGATTTGG